TGTGTGTGTGTGTGTTTGTGTGTGTGTGTGTGTGTGTGTGTGTGTGGAGAGAGAGAGAGAGAAGAGAGAGAGACATTGAGACAGAGAAGAGAGTTTCAAGGATAGAAGATAGAAATGTAAATCAAGACGGATAAAGGAAGGGAGAGAGACAGACAAAGAGACCGGGAGAGACAAAGGGAAGCTATGTGAACTAACACTCACGAGGCCCTTGCAAAGTGTTCCCGCGTGAGACTCAATGCTATACACGTACGTCGTGCTACTGGTGGTCTTAGCCCTACCTTTCACTCCCACACTCTGACTGACCTGCTCCCTGCACACTTACACCTTAGACACTCGTACACACTCACTCTGCGCATGTTTTCACAGATAACAATTCACTCTCACCTTCCCCATGCTCACTCACATGCACTTCACGTGCACCTTCGCAGATATCTGCATTTTCCCAGTCTCTCACACACACTCTTGCACACTCTCCAACAGATATCCCTAATGTCACCGAGGGGGTATTGTCTACTCAGGGAAGAAAGAGACTTGCCAAGGTTGTGTACCAGTGCAGGGAAGAGCTGGGGAGTCCTAGCCCCATTCCAGGCACAGCTCTCTGCTCCCCATGCTGATCTGGGACTGCCTGGACTGATTTACACCCCTTTATCCCTGGCGCAAGCCAGGCCCTTGAGGTCATGGGGGCTGGGGAGGCACTGAGGAATATGTCTGGCATGTGCTGACAGGGGATTTCACTCTACAGCTGGGCCGGGAGGAGAATGTTGGGCAGAGGCCTGCAGCTGGAGATTCCAGAGGGTGCCTGGGGGAGGTAGCAGTGTGAGGAGGACAAGATCAGGCTGGGTTCAAGAACAGGGCTCAACTCTGCCAGTGACTTCATCAGCCTCATCACTCTCCTTAGCTCGTGGGGCCTGCCAGACTCTGAGCAATGGGTCTTCCCTGAGAGGGTGTGAGTGGTAAGAGGAGAGCAGGGGTGGGCATAGCAGGAGAGAAGAAGGAGAAATAGAGATTGACGGCGAGGGAGGTAGAAACTTGCTTGGAGAGAGAGTGTGCTTTAGGGAGAGATAGAAAGACAGGGGCAGGAGGAGGGATAGTAGAGGAGACTTAGAGCGGGGAGAGAGATAGAGAGGGAGATAGAGAGGAAGAAAGAAAGAGGGAGGGAAAGACTGACTGATGGGAAGAGAGAAAAATAGAGAGAGGAGACAGAAGGAGAGAGACAAAGAGAAAAGCAAGAGACCGAGACATAGGGAGAGGGACCCAGGGAAAGCCAGAGGCCGACCCAGGACACGAGCAGTGGACACTACGGGAGCTGTAGGCAGAGGATCCGGGATGGCCCTGAGGATCCCCATCCAGGCTCCCCTGCTTCTCATGGGGCTGCTGACCACAGGTGAGTGGAATCCTGGCCTTGTGACTTAGCGTTAAGAGGCTCTCATTTCCCACCCACATTCTCCACACAGACCCTCTTCCCTCTCCTATTAACTTTCCTGTGTCCCCAGGCCTGGCCCAGTTGCCAATCGCTGCCTCAGTTTCCAGAGGCTTCTGGGCTCTGCCTGAAAACACAACGGTGGTAGAAGGGGCTGCTGTTGAGCTGCAGTGTGGGGTCAGTGCCCCTGGCAGTACAGTGCAATGGGCCAAAGATGGACTACTCTTAGGCCCTGATCCTAGGATCCCCAGCTTTCCACGGTACCACCTGGAAGGAGATCCTACTAGAGGTAAGGAATCAAAGCCTGAGACCCTGAGCCACTAGCAGAAGCTGACTGTGGCCCTGACCTTCAGTCCCACTTGCAGGTGAATTCCACCTGCATATTGAAGCGTGTGACCTCAGCGATGATGCAGAGTATGAGTGCCAGGTCGGCCGCTCAGAGACAGGCCCTGAGCTCGTGTCTCCCAGAGTGCTCCTCTCTGTCCTGGGTATGAGTGAGAGACCCCCATGATCCATGAGTCTGGACTTCCAGCCCTCTCCTACCCCAGAGCTCAGAAGTCCAAACTCCCAACCTCTCCTTCCTTCGATCTGAGGTGCAGAACTCATTTCATGAGCAATGAGACTCAAAGCTCGAATCCTTATATCCTTCTCGGTGGTGGCAGCTTACCCCAGACTCTTTTTCACCAGTGCCCCCCAAGGTGCTTCAGCTGACTCCTGAGGCAGGAAGCACAGTCACATGGGTAGCCGGGCAGGAATATGTGGTCAGCTGTGTGTCTGGGGACGCAAAACCAGCACCTGACATCACCTTCCTCCAGAGTAAGTGTGGGTGAACTGCTGGGGACAA